CAATCACCCTTTTCTTGTGGATTTGCATACCTAGATTGGGGTTAAAAAAAAAAAAAAAGAAGAGGGGTTTTATGGCTGTGCCAGATTAGTTTCTCAGACTTACGGCCATTTGTGTCGGAAGTATGGACTGGCAATGTGCTAGGATTGTGCCGTCGGTGTGCCGAACACTTTTGTCAGGGGTATATCGTTAACCCTGGGCATGTGGCGAGTCCTTAAATATCGGTCAAACGCATGCTGGGCAGACTGTTCGGGCTCAACCTCCTAACAAGTCAGTGAAAGTCTGACGAAACAGTTTGGCATAGTCATGCTTTTTTTTTTTTTTTGTGGAGTTTTTGTAGCAACATGACAGCACACGATGGCATTTGTGGGAAGACGAATGCAACTCCAGCCCGCTCCACAGAATTGCTTGCCCGGCATGCAGCCGAAGATCGGTCCGCACGTCCTGCATCATCTGAGTCATTTCAGTGTCCTTGCCTTTGCGGATACTAATTCATGAACCCTGTTTGACATTGGCGGTAGGGTGCACATGGTGGGCAATAATAAAACACCAGTACACCACACATCGGCCCTCGGGTGTCAGCACGAAACCCGCACCGCCTTGGAGGCCGCTGATTTTTTTTTTTCAACGGCGCCCCACGCTGTGCGACCCCTCCGAGTTTTGCTTGCGGCGACAAAAACTTTCTGCAAGGCTGGGGCCGTGTACTTGCGGTTTAACTCTTTCTATAACCGAGTGGCAGAATCTCACTCACTCTGGCTGATTAATTGGGAACAGTATGCAGATGTGCACTTGGAAGCTCTACACGCGGAAGCTGTACACTCTGAAGCTCTACGGCCTCCGGAGAACAATCCGGCTGACCCTCTTTTCTCCCCTGAGCATGGCCAGGCAGTGTCCCTGCCATGCGTCGATTGGATAGGTTCTGCCACAAATAATCAAGGGGGGGCTCCAGAGGATGGTGGCTGTGCCATGCCACTGTGTCTCCACACAGCTACTACAGTTCGGTTAGCGTGCACGAGGCATAACGTCTGCAACACTATGAAGGGATGGTCACGGACAGCCTCTGCCACGGAAACTGTGACCCTTTGTCTTGCACCCATCCATCCCCCCGTCCCTTTATTACTCGCCCGATATCCCGTTGTGGCCTTGACGCGCCATGCTTAAATAACTGCAAACATCAGCCTGCTTCTGCTGGCATGTCAGCAACATGCCATGTGTCGTCAATGTTTCCAAGAAGCTGTCATGGGAAGTATGTGTCTCTACTGCATGGAGTATCCCTGATGCCATCACCCACCACCGTGATATTCTCTCCTACCATGGACCGCATACAGCATTGGGCATACACCTGCTGCGCCCGTAGTCGGATCTCCTTCGTCCTTGCCAGACGGACAACAGACGCAGCAGCCTGCGGTGGAAAATAGACTCTTACGGGAACCACCTACCGTGCATTGTGCTGAAAGGTGATTGCGGCCACGGTGAGTTGTTGCAGCCGTTATCTTGCGACAGCTAAACGCCCTTACTTTGTACCAGACCCCATCATTGCCTGCCCACTTGCATAGAGAGGTCATATATTGGCTCCACAAACCCAAGGAACTTGCTCAATGCCACTCTGTGGTGGACCACCTGAGATTGGGCTAGCATGCGACTCACATATTTTGTGTTCTGCGGATAATGAATGTGTATATGGCCCATGCAAGTGTTTGGTTTTCATATGTACGATGACAGTCAACATTGCCCTTGTGTATGGCACCGTCACACGTCTTTCCTATTTGTAGGTAAGGGTTAGAACGACAATGCCTCGACAATTGCAGTCATCGTGCCCCTGCGTTCGTAGCATGTAGGAGCTATGTGACCTGTGACGTATGTCTACACTGTGCCATTGGACCTCTGCTATTGCAGTCGTCATGCCCTTGTGTCCCTAGCATGTAGGAGCAGCGTAGCCTATGATGACACATCTGTCTACGCCGTGGCAATCAATGCGGCAACTACGTCCGCGAGAACTGGATGTGGTGCTTCCACAGTCCACACCCGAACCAGTCCTGTCCGGTTTGTTGGGGTGGCCACTTACCGTACGTAACAGCTGACCGTCAACTCAAATTCCCTGCAACCCAAACAAAGACAGGCCTTTTGTGCCAGTCTATAGTAGTTTGCTCAACACCCTCTAAAGTGCGTCTTTCCTCTGTTCTATTCCTTGTCCTTCCACTTGCCTCCTCGTCCTCCCATCTCCCTTCGCCGCTTCCTGTAAAACTCCACCCCCTACCTCTTTTACTTCGTCCCTGCTTTTGTGTCCTACTACTAGATGCATACAAATGAGCATCATTCACAGAACAGACAAAAAAAGATAAGCTGAAGATCTGAGGAAAAATGCGCAGGAGTATACTTCTCCCTTGAATCTGCCTCCTTTTATAGTGTGTGTGGGGGGGGTATTATGCCAGATGGGGATGCGGGCAGCTTGCGTGCAACTACGAGGTGAGCCTTGTATGTGAGAGGCACTGTGATAGTAAAAGAGGGGAGCTGCAAGAACAAACAAAGGGGTAACCCAAAGAAAGCCAAAGTAAAGATAGCCAAGAAAGGGATAAATCAAATGTATTATGCTTCACAGTGCTTGCTATAGAGGTCAGAGTGTTTCATTTTTTTGTATTGTCTCATCCTTAGTGTGTGCTTCATTGTCTGCAATAGAGGTGAAGCTGCTTCGATTTTGGATCTATTCACCTGGGTGAGACAGGGTACTTTGTGGTGACCATTTACAACACACACACACACACACACACGCACACACACGCACGCACACATGTACGCACACACACACACACACACACACACACACACACACACGATCACGTGTACGCACGCGGGCGGAGGAGCTGGCCGAGATGCTAAACTGCCTTAGCATAGACAATGTATTCGTCCCTGGCTCTGTGCATTGGGGGATAGTCTACAGGAATGTGGCAGTAGGAGAGACACACACACACACACACACACACACACACACACACACACTAGTATCTGAAATGAGTTGGTAATTGCTGCCTTTCCTATTTAGTCAGCTGGTGGACTCTACAGGTTTTTCAAGATGTCAACTTGGCTACCAGCTGGGCCGCCCGGGGGCCGGGTCACCTTGTTTGACCGTGCAGCCCGGCTGTGCAAGGACCACGGAAGGGCCCAGCAAAAGGGGAAAAAAAGATCCAAAAAGTCCGGAAAAAAAAACTATGTGCTGCGGAAAAATACACTGAACAACTTTTGCCTCAGGGTCACTCCCCTGGCCGTGCAAGGACCACGGAAGGGCCCAGCAAAAAGGGAGGAAAAAATCCAAAAAGTCCGAAAAACAAAAACTATGCGATGCGGAGAATTAAACTGAACAACTTTTGTCTCAGGATCAGGCAGCCTGGCCGTGCAAAGACCGCAGAAGGCCCCAGCAAAAAAACAAAAAAAAGTCCAAAAAAAAGTTATGCGATGTGGAAACATAAACTGAACAGCTTTTCCCGCAGAGTCTTATCGAAAGATCTTTCAAAAAAACAAAAAAAAAGGCTGCCAGCTGTCCGATCGAGAGACGTCTCGCAAGACAGTCAGAAGGGAAGTTGTCCGGGCTCCGGACAACATGTTTTGGCCAAAAAAAAAGAGTAAAAGAGAAAAAAAAATTGGGTGGGGTCTGCACACCACTAGGGGATTCCCCCCAAAACATTTCAGGCCATTCTGAGCAAAAATGAAAAAAAAAGGTAAAAAGGGGGGCGGGGTGAGGGTTAATGGAGGGGCCGCTGCTACACACGAGGAGGAGGAGGATGAGGAGAAGGAGTCGTAGGGCGACAAGGAGGAGGAGAAAGAAGAAGAAGAAGAAGAGGAGGGGGCATAGGCGATGGTGGAAGAGGAAGTTGAGGAAGAAGAAGAGGAGGAGGAGGAAGAACATGAGAAAGAGGAGGAGGAGGAGGAGGAAGAAGAGGAGGAGGAGAAGAAGGACGAGGTGGAGGAGGAGGAGGAGTAGGCCGTGGTGATGGAGGATGAGGAGGAGGAGGAGGAAAAAGAAGAACAGGAGGGGGAGGAGGAGGAGGAGGAGGAGGTGGTCGAGGAGGAAGAGGAATCCGAGGTCTTTTTCCCTTTTACCGAAATCTTTGATGTTTTTTTTTTTTTTGATAAGTTGAAATTGACTGGAAACTTGCAAGGGTATACCTCACTTTTTTTTTTTTTTTAAAGGGCGATGGCCTTGAGGTATTATCATCAGACTAACCAGCCCACGTAAATTTAATCTTGTGTCTAATCTTGCGGAAAAGACCGGATCAAGGACCCGGTTTCTTCAAACTCGACACTTCCCTTTTGCGTGACCACCAATTCAAGCAAATGATTCACCATGAGTGGCAGTTCTGGCGTCAACAAAAACATCACTTTGATTCACCCTCCACATGGTTGAACAATGGCTTGATCTTTCTGGCGAAAAAATGCAAAGACTTCTCCAAAGCCAAGGCTGCGTTGCGCCATCAACAGGAATTTACCCTCCATAAGGAATTGCTCAGCCTGGAACACCAGGCAGACTCACCTCTCCGCACCACCAACATACAAGAGACGAAAGCTAAACTCCTCCAATACGCACAACATAGGTGGCAAGGTATTCGGATACGAGGGAAAATGGCGAAGTTTACCCAGGAGGCTACAATGGATACGCACTTCCTCAGCATGGCCACCGCCTGAGCGCGACGTACGACAATTGAAGCATTATACGAGGAGGACGGAAGCATAACAACAACTATGGCACATTGCACCTTAATTACCCGCAGGTTTTTCAAACAGCTCTATACATCCCAGCTCCCAGCCCCGCGAGGGGAGGCATGACGCGCGACCTAGAAGAGTTCTTAGCACCTATGGATAAGTGTCTCTCCCCCGTCCAGCGCGAGCACCTGGATCCAGAGATGAGCACCGGCTACCCAGACCCGCACCCACCTGCACCCACCCCACCCACGAGGACATCGGGTCAGGTGCGGGTCGTGATAAAGTGACCTGGGCGGGATGAGGGCGGGTCAGGGCCAGGCAGCCTGGGCGGGTGACAGGTGGGTCAACATTAGGCCTGGGTCACCCGAGCGGGCGGGTGACAGGTGGGTGAGTGCCAGGCCTAGGTCACTCTCTCTCTCTCTCTCTCTCTCTCTCTCTCTCTCTCTCTCTCTCTCTCTCTCTCTCTCTC